AACCTACATTCCAAGTTTTTTAAAGATCGGTTAGAAAAATTAAAAAATAAAAATGTAGGTATATGTAAAAAATACAAAATGGCGGATATCCGGTTAACGAAGCGATTTTGGAAAAAATGTTATTCTTGATTTTCTCTTTATTTTGACCCATAGAACCATTTCTCGGAGTTTGGCTGTTTACTTACGGGACACTCTGTATATTTGAATAATTCCTTAATCATAGTTGTAAGTTGTATCATAGATAAATCATACTCCCTAAGCAATCTACTTGTGTTGCTTAGTCTATGGTTGTATGAAGTACATGTATATTTTTAATTTTGTGTCAAATATTTAATGGTTTAAACGCATGGTTCAAAATGTAAAACCAAAACTATAGGGAAATTTAAACAAATCGTATAAATCAGTTACGAAAAACGCTTGAAGCAAGACAAGGTTATTGGCCAACTGGCTTCGGGCCCAACCTTGCCATGGTGGTAAGGCAGATCACGAATGTGCTTCAAGGGTGGTTAGTTCTCCCAGGCGCCACCACCGAACGAAGCGCTAGCAGTTTCGTTGGCTAAGGAGTTGTAATTGATAATACGTGTATTAACTTGTCAACAAAACAAGTACAGTTGCACATAAATTTGTAAATTGTACATGGAAAGCTTAAATAAATCTGTTAAAATCTATTTAAGTGGTTAGTTTAAAGAATCATTAATAATTAAAAAGAATATAAATCATAATGTCAAATAGCTCTCGCTACGAACTATGCGTACCATTTCCCTTGGGTCGGCGAAGTTCTATTCCTACATTCGGCGTCTAACCAGCCGGTCACGTCCTCGATAGTACTTATACCTGCTAAATGTAGCGGGGATATGGTACACTGTCGTCACCGGGCGGTTAGACGTTCACAAACAATACAATCAATTTACTAATTTAGGAATAAGCAACAATGTTGAGTGATGTTGAGTTGACGTCGGCTCGGCGTATGACATCAAAACATTGATTGCAAAATTCGAAATATTAGCCCTAAAAGTGATCGCTGCAATTTATTTTCAAATTAACAGATTTTTGGTACATTTTAGCGAATTTCTCATGTAGCGAATAAGCTATTACCGTAGACCTGGTACAGATTTACTTTTTCGTTTGATGTCTATAGAGGCCATAAACACCATCCGTTCAAATTTATTATATACATATTTATATATTCCTATATACATATGTCCTTTAGCACGATAACTCGTGCAAAAATAATCCGATTTTGATTAAATTCTGTATAAACGTGTAAGCCTACATATTTATTTACCTACATACATTTGATCGAGTTCGTGAGCCAGCGTGATCAGACTACGGAACGGTGGTTTATGGGGTACAAATTGGTTTTTCCTTATTTTGACCCTAAAAACAAAAAAATAGCAATTTATTTCCAAACCTTTTTGTAGAGCTTACAAAACTACATGAAATAACATTGTAAACTATATTTTCCTCCTAAACAAAACTACAAAATAACCCTAGTTTAAATATTTATTACAAAACCTACGTTCATATGAATGTTGATCATAGTTCATTCATTTTCTTATAAGGGATTTCACCAGGATTCTAAAAAATTACAATAAAATCCATTCAAACATAATTTTTCATGCAGCCATTAACATATTATTTAATCATAATTCATCGTCCTACTTCTGGATATTGCTTTATTTTAATAACATTATTTTGTTACCTCACAATATCCTTGTCAAATGCGTGCACGCACCGCCAAGGTTGATCGAACAAATGTTAGGCCTATGTATTTTTACGTGTGTTCAGTGTTTTGTATTTTAAGTTTATAGTTTATGACGAACCTGAGAGGAGGATAACCTGATGATGTGGCAGTTGCCACGAAACACGTTGTTTGTTTACCAACACCAAACAAGGATATTGTAAGATAACAAAATAATTGTATTAATATTATTTAAGCAAGTACATGATTTTTACAGGCAATGCAATTTTAGCCGTTCCGCGTTTTTCAAGAGAAACTCTGAATTTAAGACTAACAAATCAAAGCAAAAGATGATAAATTAACTGGAGAAGTTTTAACAATTTTTGACACTCTCTACAGTCCAGTGAAGCATTGAAAATCTTACGTAAAATAACCGCCACTAATCAACAACAAAAATAACAACAACATTAACAAAAAAAAACCTGTAACAGAATGTTGCCCAACTAGGTTGTCAAGTCCCGTTTGTCGTTGTTTGTTTGCTAGACTTCTTCTCTGGTACAAAACACATACAGAATATTCTTTGAGGAAATAACTAGCCACCCTACTCCGTTCAAACAGCCGTGGCACCTGACGGATTAGGAGACCTCATGGAAACCCTTGCGGCCTCCTAATCCCTCAGGTGCCACGGCTGTTTGAACGGAGTATAAGTTGAGGCAGCCCAAGGCCGCACTAGATATACGCCGTGCGGCCTTGGGCTGCCTCAACTTAGGGTGGCGAGGACTATACATTTGTTACGATAAAAATATCTTGGAACAATCTTAGTCCTATTCAAATTTTTAAGTTGGCAAATAGTTGATCTAATATCTAGGACACATGCAGTTATTTGTTCAGTATGATTTGTATTTGCCAATTATTTGTTAGGTTTATACTTTTTGAAGTTGACAGTAAACAGTTAAATCACTTAACAAAAGGAGAACAAGAGCCGCTACTGAGATGAAGATGAAGAATTGACATCGTGGCTTGGACTTCTGTAAAGCTCGAATTTAGTGTAGAGAAGTTATTCTCTTTCTACATCTACATCTAGTAGAATTGGCCCTCCCACCTGCTAGGAAAGGCGTAAAGGATCCTTTATCGCATTGGACTGTATGTGTAGCGGTTGTTGTACTTTCTGGAGTCACAGATGCTGTCAACATAACATTTCACTTTATTTAACGTAATATTAATAAGAAACTATACTAAACATGTTGTTTCCCATAGAATATTTAGAAAAATAAATAATGATGACATAAGTAAACTCTTTAAAATAACCGGATAAACTGTACATGAAATTCGTAAGACTCTCTATCATGAAATTTACCTTAAATAAGTGCAATACATTACTAGACATTACTATTTTAGACATTTACGCACAGATCAGAGGCTTATCTTTCAATCTAGACTGAAGAAACCATATAATTCACACGTGTCCTGCCTGCTTCTAAACGTAAAATATACGAACTTTGTTTTGATTCATAAACCTGATTTGCTTCAAACCAGCTCTAAATTGTAATTTATAAAATGTGAGATATACACCATTACATTAATATCTTCGCTATATCTAGGTTGATAGTTTATTCTTAACCTTAACCAAGGTGTTTAATACGTTAACATCAACAAAAATAAAAATGTTTATCTAAAAAATACAAAATGGCGGATATCTGGTTAACGAAGCGATTTTGGAAAAATTGTTATTCTTGATTTTCTCTTTATTTTGACCCATAGAACCATTTTCCGGAGTTTGGCTGTTTACTTACGGGACACTCTGTATAGACTCTAAAAGTGTCTGCTTTATGGAAGAAATAAAACAAAAAATTGACTTTGAATTCTAAGAAATTTACTGTATGTTAAAACACTAAAACATAAAACACATCTCTTTTCCGCTCTCCCCGTTCTTCTCTCCGCTCTCCGCTTCCGCGCCTAGGAAAACCCAGTTTTAACATGGTGTTCATCCGCTCCGCTTCTAGGAAAACAGTAACATTAAATTACCTAGGACAAGTGGAGTCCGCTCTCCGCGTTCCTCTCTCCGCTCTCCGCACTTCCGCGCATAGGTAAACCCGGCTTAAACGGGGAAAATAAAGCCCGGTTTACATGCTACGATAAAACATAACGATTTGTCCTATTCGCATTAGGCGCACTTGCCTAAAGATATATTATATCTTTTTAATATTGCATACATCATCAAGAAAAACTGGTTCTTCTTTTTCAGCGCCCAGTTTTTTCCGTTTGTAATAAGTGATCACTGATCAGTCAGGCTTGTCACGCTTGTGTGGGCGATGTGTTGGGCTTAGTGGAGGAGCTTGGGGTGCTGTTGAGTTTTGTAGAGGTGATGTAGTTGGAGCCGATTCTGGTGGGGTCGTTAGGGGTATCGTTTGGTTTAGCGGGGGTGGCGTTGGGTTTGACGGGGGCACTGGGGTTGTTGTTAGGTTTGGCGGGGGTGGTGGTGTCTTATCAATAAGGATGAATAATCTATGAGTAGTAAGTGTGTTTAACCTTAATATATGTTAGTTTAAAAACGTATGACTATGACAATGGGACCCTACGGATAATCCATGACAAAACTACAAAAATGTTTAAATGTATAATATTTTAACAAATAACCGTTTAATCGATTATCAACATATCAATATATCATGTAAACAATGGATCCATTTTACAAGCTCTACGGTCCAACAATGGAACTAAAAGCTATACATTTGTGGGCTTATTGGCTTAATTTATTTCCGAACCAAAATAAAATAATCCTTTAAGATCTCGATGGATATCAATATGAAAACTGTAATGAATTGTTTAGTATCAGTCAGTAAGCACTGACATAGCCAATGCATTTACATATACTTCTGGCTAAATAAATGACTTTATGACTTACTCAAATCAATAAATGAATTTTTGTACTCAACTGTGAACTGTTGTATGGTTTGAATGATTTCTACTTGAATTGATCTCTTTGGAAGTTAAATACTTAAACAGCTTGATCCACAATATATTAATGATCCAATACTGCATAGTATGTATGTATATTATACAGTATTGTTCATAAATCAATTAATGAGGAACAGAAAAAAAAGTCCTAGAGAATATAAAAGTTTCATGGTCAAATATAAAAACCCACCTTTGTATTACAACCAAAAGCCAGATTGAAGATAGCTCAGTAGCTCAGTCCAGTCAGTGAGTGGATTGAAGAAGTTCATATTTTTTGTTGTGAATGTTGTTTGTTCAGTTTCAGTTTGTTTTGTTTGTTACACTTGTTTCGTCTGTTTCCTTGTTTGTTACTAAATGATGGCCGGAATGTTTTCATTCATGTTCATTGTCCATGCTTGAAGTAATTTGTTACAATCCACATTTTTTAGACTCCATAATACCCAAAAATAAATGCTAAGCATGTCCCGAAAGTGATGCAGAAGGTGAGTGAGTAATAATTTAACTTTGGTCATAAATAAAGGCTAGATCTAAGTTATACCTATGTTTACAAGTAAACTGCCATTGGTAACTAGCCCTTAGCCCTATTCCCTGTAAATCTAACGTGAATTCACGTTTTAAGCAATTGTAAGTAATATTTAAGCGAAACCAAGTAAGGTAGTCACAATACCTGTTACCAGGGAATAATGTGTGTCTAAATCTCGTACAATCTGTTCGGGCCTAGTAAGATCAGTGAGAACAAATCAAATCAAATCAAATCAAATCAAAGCTTTATTTTCCAATAGACATTACAAATGCATGTGGAATGGTCAATGAAGGTATTATGTTGGGAAACATTTGTCAAGGAAGAGTACAATAGATGTAGAGTACAAGGTCAAATCAAAATATACAAAGATAATATAAAATACATGCAGATGAGGATAACTATAAGAGAAAAAAAAAGTACAATCATTACTCAATATTTAATGGTTTAGGAAATTCTAAAAAATCGTTAAGTTTGTAGAACGGATTCTTAACTAGCCACATATGAATTTTAGCTTTAAAAACTTTGTAAGGAAGTGATAGCAATTTGTTGGGCAATTTATTTAGACATTTTAGGCCCAGAATTTTATGACTTTTCTTTGTTTTGCTCAGTCTAACATGGGGTATATCAAATTGATGTCTGTTTCTAGTTTGAAAATCATGAAAATCACTCCTTATGGCATGTGAGTCCATTTCCTTAAAACTAGTTAACATGATATTAAATATATATAAATTAATAACAGTTAAAATATTAAATTCAATAAAAATGGGGCGACAATGTTCCTCAGGATCAACCCTAGCCATTATGCGCAGGACCTTTTTTTGTAATATTAAGACATCGGAGACATGAGAACTATTACCCCAAAAAATGATACCATAGTTCAAGGCAGACTGAAATAAAGCAAAGTAAACTGATCTTAAATAACTAATAGGAACTAAATCATTAAGCTTACGAAAAAGGCAAATCATTCTACTTAACCTAGTACAGAGTTGCGTTATATGATCAGACCAAGTCAGTTGTTTGTCAATATGGACACCTAGAAACTTTACCACATTGGACAGTTCAGCTTCAAGTGGGCCTATATCATGTAGAGGTCTAAGGCAAAATATGACTGATTGTGTTTTGTCTTTATTCAAAAGAAAACTATTAGCTGAAAACCACTCAGCAGCAGTATTGACTGTGTTTCTGACATTTGACTTAAGATGCAAAAGGTCACTGTGACAAGATAGCAAGGTAGTATCATCCGCATAGAGATAGGAATTGCAACTAAGATTCATAGGCAGATCATTTATAGCAATTAAAAACAGAAGGGGGCCCAAGACGGAGCCTTGAGGTACCCCACAGTTGCTGAGGGCGATGGAGGACCATTCACCATCAGCATATACCGCCTGTCTACGATTTGCTAAATAAGACCACAAAAGATTTAGAGCACTGTTTCTGATTCCATAAAACTCCAACTTATGCAGCAAGATCTCATGGTCAACACAATCAAAGGCCTTGCTAAGATCAATGAAGGTGGCCCAGGCAAAATCTTTATTTTCAAAAGCCCTGTGAATGTCCTGAACCATGGCATCAATTGCATCCACAGTGGACTGTCCAACTCTAAAGCCAAATTGTTGTTTGTTAAAGAGAGAATTATTTTCAAAAAAGCTGTTAATCTGATTGTGAATAATATGTTCTAGAACCTTGGACAGAACAGGTACTAGACTAATAGGCCGATAGTTTCCTGGGCAGTTTTTATCCCCTTTTTTGAAAATAGGACAAATTTTGGAAATTTTGAGACAATCAGGAAAGAATCCCCCCTGTAGACAGGCGTTTACACAGTAAGTCAATGGTGAAATTATTACATCAACAATTTCTTTAATGAACCAGTTGGAGATATCATAGATATCTTTGGATTTGGTATTTTTCATTTTAGTTATGACTGACATAACCTCACTACAAGTGACCAAAGAAAAGTGAAACTCTGAATTGTTGAAAGGAACTTTTTGTAAGAAATGATCATAAGTATTTGCAGGTTTCTTAATACTGTTTCTAATACTGTTAACAGAGTTAATAAAAAAACTATTTAGTTTATTTGGATGAAATGGAAGCTTATTACCGCTTCCGAGAGATTGGGAATTTTCTTTTACAATTGCCCAGGCTGATTTACATTTGTTGCTGGAGTTTTCAATGAATAGGGCATTATAATTGAGCTTGGCCTCCTTTACTGCCCGTTTGTAGTTCTTAACTAGGGTCTTATACTCTAACTTACAAAGATTGTCACTACTTACACAGGTCAGATCATAGGCATGTCTTACCTGCTGCCTGAGCCTGTCAAGATCAGGAGTGTACCAGGCACGTGACCGTTTCCCTTTTGGGGTTGGGGAACAGATAGGCTAAATTAATGTTGAATCAGAGAAGTGGCTGGCTGGGCCACTACTAGGCCTAGGAGGCATGCTACCTGTTGCAATATTGGGCTGCACTTTACTTTAGGTCCTACACTCATTCGAATGAAAATATCGATCGATATATCGATTAATCGATTGTTTCCTAACTAACCAACCTAACCTAACTAACCAAACGATATATCGAATGAAACAATAGAATAATCGATATTTTCATTCAAATGAGTGTAGGACCTAAAGTAAAGTGCAGCCCAATATTGCATGAGAAATATTGGTAATTTGAAAGGAAACTTAAAATTAGTGATTATTTGAAGTGTTACTCAAGTGGGGTACAGTTTCTTAACTGGGCTACGCTAAGTTAATACCGATTGAAACTATCTATTTGATTAGTGCGATTTTTTTCACCATCAGCAAGTTTGGTTGGTTAGGTTAGGTTATGATAGTTTTATTTTCTAATAGACATATTTAACCCTCTGAGTGTCCATAGTTTAGGCCTTAATGTCCGCCTATTTTTGGCGCATTTGCAAGGTTTTATTAAAACCGATCTGATAAGCTTAAAACAATGTTAATTCTACTGTTCTATCTACCATTTTGTTTGGAAAATCATGGGCTTCAATATTATACATAGAACATAAGGAACATTTGTTTCAAAAATATTTTTTAGGTAAAAAAAAATATTTTGGAAAATTTTCAAAAAAGAAAATAAATTTGCGCTCAATGAAATTGTATAAATTATAGGCCTATAAATATTTGAAAATAGCCACTTTGTTCTAAATTTTATGAGGATTACAAATATATAATAATATAAGGAAGTAGATTTGCAAATAAATAATTTATGGGCAAAAAACAGATTTCAGTACGTAGCGTTTAGCTAAGAATGCATAGCCTAACCATAGCTAGGAATCTGGCTGATAATTTACATCAATATCACTACCTACTTCTTCAGGATCATCAACCAGCCCTTCAAAATCACTTAAATCTTCTTATAATGCACCACGTATATCACTACTTTTGATTTTTAACACTAAAACAATGATAAACGTAATAAAACACATCAGTCATCGGTCCGAGGGTAACCTAGCTATTTACAAATACGCACGTCAGCTGTCTGCTACAATTACGATCGGCTCGGAGAACATACAGCGCTGAGACAGACCTCTGGAGAAAGCTTAGAATATAACGAAAAGAACGATACCTAACTCGATCCAGTTCAATCCGATTCAGTCAGTCATAGAGCCTTCGCCGTAAACGATGTTCGCGCGTCGATTTTTCGACGCGTGACACTACACAAAGTGTGTTGCGCGTCGATTTTTCGACGAGTGACGCTCGGAGGGTTAAAATTATCGATTATTAATTAATATTTTCAATCCAATAGTTTCAATCAATATTAAGTTAGCATAGGTTAGCCCAGTTAAGAAACTGTACCGGTACCCCTCAAAGGAACGAGAATTTTTGAGCAAGTCAAAAATAGGCCCTAAGTTAGGCCTACTTAGTTCCAGTCAAGCTTTTTAATGAGTTTCCTGGAAGCTGCTATAGCCTACATTAGTAGGCCTACACTTATGGCAGAATCTAAGCACGATTTTTACTGTTAGTGAGTTTATTTTATTATTCCAACGGACACACAATTTTTACATTCAAAAATACATTACAAGTTTATCTTACAAGTCAGGCTAAGTTATTTCTTACAGTCAACTGACTTTTTAAAAACATAGAAACTTATCTGGGGTAAAAAAAACCTCTCACATGTTGACAGGAACCTCTAACTTACTTAGGCCTAAACAAATTGTAAGTTTAGCAAGATTGAAGGGTGACTGAAAATAAGTCAACCGGAAGTTTTATAAAATAGCAGAAGCATTAGGCCTATTCATATTTGCTTTGTGTCAATTAATTAGGCTATAACTTTTATTAGGCTACATTGAAATGTTCATAAACTCTTGCCATAAGAAATACTGTTTAAGTTAATAAACATAGTTAACTTAGTTGGCTACCCTTGTCACAGGCCCATTAACTTTACCTGGGCTACTTTAAGAAATTTATGTTAGTCAGGTGGAATCCAATTTTATTTATGCAGGTTTCAACCATTTTCCTAAATTCTTCTATTTAACGTTCAGCATTTCACGACCACCATAATTGTCACCACTTCCTGGTTTATTGCTTGAAAAATATACATTCAGGGTTGGGGGTTTGTGAGTGTAAGATGCAAAATCGCAGAAACGCCCCAAAGAAAAAAATGCACAGGCGCTCAAATTTGGTGACCTCAGGGCCACAGAATATCACGGAAATGTGAAATAAACCATCCTAGGAAACATAATACGTACCGTATGCTCCACGGCCATTGAATCGAAAGCAGTATGTGTGATAGATGTTGTTGAAAATGCATAATTTAGGCCTATATAGATAATTGTTTATTAAACGTTGCTGTCTCACCTGTGACCTCGAAAGTGTGCTTGAGCATATCGACAGTTACGAATCAACAAAGCTTGCCAAACTGCTCCAACCTCTACAGCAGGGTTGCCACCATGTCCGATACTGCCGGACAGTCCCGACTTTGATCCCTTATGCCCGTGTTTATGCTTATGTTAATTTAGGGAGAGGTCTGATTGGGACATGTCCTGATTTTTCTCTAACCAAAGGTGGCAAACTTGCTTTACAGTGTCCAAAGTTTTTAACAGTTATTTTTTCAGCTGGATCTTGTTTTCCTTGAATTGTAAATACATCTGAGAATTGTATTTTTAATCTATATCATGGCGTTTAAGGTGAAAGGGAACGTTAAAAGTTGCTGCACAGAAATGATAGGCTCGCCATTTTGCACACACTCATCATTGGCAAACATACCGTGCTGTAGCCTACCGTCCAATGCTCCATCTCCATGACTAATAAAATATATAAGTTACAGCAATAAATGACAACCCACCCTCCCCTCAGGACAATAACTATCGCGGTATTACATTTAAAAAACGTTTTTTTCGATTAAGTCAACCTGTACACATGGTTATATCCTAGGCTAATGTAAGGAAATATTCAATATTCTCACAAATGTCACTTGAGGTATCAAGACCAGAGACAAAAACTTAACCTAAATAACTTCTTAGCTGCTTAAGTTTGCTAATTTAGCTTGTTCCATGTATAACACTAGTTCTGGGCTTAAAAGAAAAGAAAGATAGCCTGTATTATATGACTTTTTGTGGAATCATTGATGTCCATTATTTGTATTAACTAGGTACATAATAAGAGCTTTTATCTTAAGCTAGAGATGGGTTTCTTACACTTTGAGGTCCAGTTCTAGGCCTACTCTGACAACTTTTGGCCTTAGACAGAAATTAAAATCATCTTGTTGTAATATTACCGTACTTAAATATTTTATGCTTGAATACTTGTTGTCTTAGTCTTTGACCGATGTTTCTTGGATTAAACATGTCAAAAAAAAAAAAAAAATTGAATATCTACAATAACTTAATATCACTGTACAAAATTAAAATACTTTAGGCTGTAGTATGCGAGACCGTAATTAATCTCAGGCTGGCATTTGTGGTTCTGAGGATAACTATTCCAGATTGTACACTGTATAGGGCCCTATTTGTGAGCAAGTTCTTCATCACGGCTCTTGAACTCTGTACAATCCTTAAGTTTACTTACACTGTTAAGCAGAGGGTGTTGAAGATTTTTATTATTTTGATTTGATTTTGATCAAGTGTATTTTTAAAAGGTGTGACTGAAACTGCAACGAGGCACATCCAAGTCATGGGCTCTCCTCGTTCCATTTCAACCTTAAATTATCCTATGTTCTCCTTCAGCAGAACCAGACTGTTAAGCACATAACTTACGGTATTGGCTTAAGTTATCACTGTAAGGATTCCCACTTCCAAAAAATTAAACCAGCAATGCTCTCTAACACTGCCTTTTGAAGCAATAACCATCACAGTTAAGGCAACGTTCAGTATCACATGGCGTTCAGGGGAGTGTCCCCAGAGCACTTTCCCGTACGCCACATGACTAGCCAATGGAATAAGGCATGGTTCAAGGTTATCAGTTAGCCTAGGTCTTTGTGATTTCTTCACGGAGTTTCCTTAGAATCACATGTTGACAGTCAAATTTAGAGTTCCTTAAATCGGTTAATTAGGATGGGTTTTTGTAGGTTAATTTTTTTTTTATTTCCAGCTTTCATCCAACGAAAAAGAAGGAAAATGAGGACCAGACAACAGTGTAAGACTTCAAAACAACCTTCAATAACATCCTCAAAAATAGTTAAAAATGATCCAAAGGTAAGAAGTTTTAAGACGAGCATCTATATTTTTGCAATATAAGCTCTTTAACTCATTAAGAGCAATAGACTAACAATATGTTGATTCCTTAATATCCTTTGTTACAAAATCTATTTTAATACAGTGGAACCTTGATAAGAAGACCCTCGATAACAAGTCGCCCTTGATGACAAGTGTCATTTTCAAATCCTCTCAAATTATTTTATCCCTAATCACAAACCTCGATAAGAAGTCAACCTTGATAACAAGTCTTATTTTACAATCCCCATGAGAGTCTTGTTATCAGGGTTCTACTGTATTATTGTTATAATACCGTACTTAATAACCTGATCAGCATTGTACGTGTTATTAAATTTACCTTAAAAAGGTGGCCTACAGTAGACTCCCTCTTATCCGGACACCTTTTAACCGGACATCGGTTTAACCGAACTACACTCTGCGGAAATGACATCTCTTTAGCCGGACAATTTTTATCAGCACATTGGTTAAACCGGACTAGATCGGCAGGAAGTGGGCAGTACTGAAACGTCTGTTCTCGTGGGAAAGATTTGAGACCAGTGATCACGTGTCTTAATACAACGCTCTCCTAAATTTAAGTGGAATATCACAGTAAACAGTCCGTTTTTGGGACGTCGGTTTAACCGGAAAACCCGTTATCCGGACTGGCCTCGGTCCCGAGGAGTCCGGATAAGAGGGAGTCTACTGTACAGTACATAAAAATACATCTAATAACACTTCCCCCACAATCCCCACTATGCCGATTGTGGCTGTTTGGCAAAGCCGACCGGCTTGCCCGCACATCATAGTCGCAGGCTTGCAAACTGCATCATGCCGATGCGGCTCAACCTAAAACTAAGGCAGTGTCACAGTTCTGAGATGTCATCAGATGATGAGTTATTGTTAGCAAGCTGTGTTAGTTGGTAATGGAACTCTACATTTAATACTCAGTTGTTGATAGTAGCCTCTGGATTGCCAAATAATATTAAACAGGTTTAAATACCTGCTATCAAGCAATCCATTTAATTGCAGTTGCAACAAGTTTTGACTCCTATTGCAACTGCAATTAAATGGATTGCTTGATATCAGGTATTTAAACCTTTTTAATTTAATTAATACTTAGGCTTGGCTCGTCCCCACTCCAACATGCCGCTTGGCTTCCATTGATATGGACAGACAACCTGTTGGTTTGAAATTGGCATGCAATAATGCTGATCAGCACAAGCTGGATATGCGTCCATACTTGGCAATACTGATGTGTGCCATTCAGGACAGTGGGGATGTGGCTTTACATGTCTTTTTACACGTCAACTGTTGAGTCACAAGGCAGTAAATAAATCTTAATACACCAAAAACCATTTTTAGGGAATTTCCTTATAGGGAATAAGCTATTACCGTAGTACTCAACAAGACCTGGACCCGGGACCGATTTTCTTTTTCGTTTTGACGTCCCTAGAGGCCAAAAACACCATCCGTTCAAATTCATATATATATATTTATATATGTGTCCGTTAGCGCGATAACTCGAGCAAAAATCATCCGATTTTGATGAAATTTAGTACAAACGTGTAAACTTACGTTTATTCGAACGAGTTCGCGAACCATCGTGATCGGGCTATGGGAACAGGGGTTTATAAGGGGTCGCTATGTCTAGTGACAAACGTAGAAAACACTCCCTTCTGTTTACTTCATACACCACTACGCAGTGGCAGCACTATAGCTGAAAGATTCTTCTTTTGCTAGGTTAAAATCAAGAAGGAAAGTGTGAACTAAATACTTACCACTGTACCAAACTTAACTAATTTAAAATTGTATATTATTCTTTCAGTAAAAGTACGTAATTTTTCTTTGCGATTCATGTGTTTTTTGTAAGAAAAAAATAGTTTAAGAAAACATATTTCTTTAATTTCAAATCAAAGCCAATAGCACGTCTCTCAAGTGGATCTGACTAATAGTGTTCAATGAAAAGCGTTATAAGAACCATTGTATACAGACGATTTTGTGTGCCGTTTAAAGCCGCAAAATGGGATTGTAAAAATACTGATTAGATGAAAAAAATGGTGCATTCCGTGTAGGCCTATCCAAGTCAGAATGTTTTGCAAAAAAACGGCACAAAAAACGTCCGTTAAAAGGGGTCGAAATAGTATATTTCGTACCTAGGGCCGAAAATGAGGTTTCGCCGGCTCGAGATAGTTTTTAGGTTCGAGACGAAGTCAACCTAAAACGATCGAGAGCTGCAAAACCATTTCGGTCCGTGGTACGAATGCCATTTTCCACCACACTATACCTTAATAGCACTATTCACCACAATAATGATGCACACTGATAGTCAACACAACTAGAACTTTAAGGTTATGTGAAGAAATAATTTGAGGAATCAGCAAAAACTAAAATAAATAGTTGCTAGGCAGCGGTGACAATAAAACAATTCTATTGCAATGCTATGGATACTTATTGTGTATTTAATATGCATTCATGTTTAAAAAAAGTAAGCGATCAGCTGATTTTGCGGCCCTAGGGATGTAAGAACCTGCTCGGTCCCCAAATGACGATGACAGCTGGCATGGCCAGCAAAACGTAACTTTCAGCCACCAATTAACGCATGTAAAACAGCTAAAAACATCATAGTGGGGTGAAAAGTTATTAAATTTGTTGATGCAGCATGCAATATTACCGATTATTTTTCCACAAAACCAGCTGACAGGGCATGTATTGGCCATTGGGGTGATATTAGTGAGGTCGGGGAGTGCGTTGAAAAGTGGGAGCGGGAGGGGCGGCGGCAAACTTTGTTGCCTAGAGGCGGCAGATACTTAAATACATCCCTGGCGCCTAATGGTTACGGAGAAAAATAAAAAAAAATGTAAATTTAAAATTCCCATGTTATTGCTATGGAGAACAAGTAAACTGTTGTAGTTTGCTTGTTTATCAACATATTTGGATCAAATTTGGAAAATATTTTAATTTCTTACTAACTATTAACATAAAAAAAAAGCAGTGTTACCGGTACCCTCCCTGATGCAGCAAACCTAAGTACTTGTTAAACTAATTCTATTTAAATAGGAAATAAATGTTACCTATATATTTAAGTAGAAATTTTAGTGTAAATCCAATCAGGCAAATTGAAATTCACTTAGTCTGCAGGTTTGCTGCGGCGGGGGTATTTTTTTTTTAGAATAGGAATATTGTGTTATATTTATTTCCACAATACCTATTAAATAACATTGCAATCGAGTTTAAACCAAAATAATGTACACTTAATTAAAACATTATTATTTAAGTTACTGTACTTAATCCTTGCTTTAGGGTGGTTATTGTCTAATAGTCATCAGTTTCTTCAATTTTACAGAAAATAACTAGAAAAAAGAGAGGAAGGCCCAAAAAGAGGGGAAAATCCCAAAGCATGGAAGAAGAAAAGGTGCCATCTCCACCAGTTGAAGTACAGGTATGTAGGCCTACTATACTCTGTACGGTGAAACCTGTCCCCTGACCTCCTACCTGGGGACTGGCCAATGGTTTTAGATGAGTCAGTCCTATGAAGACAGGTTCCATCATACAAACTGTAGCTCCACCTTCTGTCACTGATTATAAAAAATTGCTTAAACTATTGAATGATTTATGACAAAAACACAATACATTTGTATTTGTAGGCTATGTATTTTTGTGAAATTAATGTTTTTAGTAGGCCTATAGTAGAAAGGGGTTAGAAATGCTGTTAATTCTTGTCCACAAAAGTACGCTAATCAAACCATATCTACAAAAATAAAAAGGTTATTAGGTAATGTGTTTTAGGGTGTTTAAAAAGGTTATGTGTTTTTTTTTCTGTGATAATTAGTATTATATTTTAGTTAGGCATAACTTCAATAAAAACTAATTATTAGGTTCTTGAAGATTTTGTGCAAGAATTTATTTGATAGATAACCAAAACTACATCACATCATTAGGTCGAGGGGTCTATCCATATCAAGTGATCCAACAGGGGTTGCTTGACCATTTTTACAATAAATAATATTTTTATCCTAGAAGCCTTTATCAATTCTGGGTTCAAAAGTGATTTTAAAATTTTTTTATCTATTTTGTTACTCCTACGGCGGCCATTTTTGTTTTGCGGAACACGCAAATTTTTGCTCATGTAAGGGTTTGCGTTAACTTGCACAACTCGGTAACCATGAACACTAGAGTGATGAAACAAAAAGCATTTTAATCTGGAAGAAACAGCCTAAATATTATGTTCTGTACATATTTATTGAAATGTGTATCAAAAACCGTTTTAAACCCATCTCAACATTTCATAAGAAAACGGAAAAATTTCAACTTTTGAAGGTATTACCATTGGAACGAATAAAATCTCAGACTTGATTTTTCTTGTGTGTGTAGCAACTCAGTAGAACTGTTTGTATTTCAAATATCAACCATGAGACTTAATTCCTTTAAAAGTTATCATTTTTCAAAAACTGAAATTTTTTGAAAAATTCAAATTTTGAGTCTCAATATCTTTGTTGGGACAAAGTTTAAAAATCTGAAATTTTTATCAAAAACCCCTCTTATGGTTGTTATACTGCTGTATGAATTTCATCTTTGAGATTTACTTTTAAGATAAGTTACAGTATCATGAAAATCACAAAAAACCCATAAGCTCGGCCAACGTGGCTAGTACGTAGGTAGCTTAAAGATTAATTTATAGGTGTAGGTAATTATTTTATTTAATGTAAACTTATCTTAATGTACATTTCAAAAATCCAAAACAGATTTTTAACTTAAACTTTGTACCCAAAGTACCTTCAAAAGTTGAAATTTTTCCGTTTTCTTATGAAATGTTGAGATGGGTTTAAAACTGTTTTTGATACACATTTCAATAAATATGTACTGAACATAATATTTAGGCTGTTTCTTCCAGATTAAAATGCTTTTTGTTTCATCACTCTAGTGTTCATGGTTACAGAGTTGTGCAAGTTAACGCAAACCCTTACATGAGCAAAAATTTGCGTGTTCCGCAAAACAAAAATGGCCGCCGTAGAAGTAACAAAAGAGATAAAAAAAATTAAAATCACTTTTGAGCCCAGAATTGATAGAGGTATCTAGGATAAAATTATTATTTATTTTAAAAATGGTCAAGCAACCAATTATTTTATTTCTGGATCACTTGATATGGATTGACCCGAGTGACAAGTAAAGAAACTAAAGAAATATCAATATAAAATAGTTTATAAATTTAAAAAACTTTTTAAAATACCACGTTTTCAAACGAATGTCCGTCCTAGGCTATCCTGAAAATCTAGGATATCCCAGGCGTATCGGTACTGATAAGCCGGGTCAAAGGGCGCTAGCTAGCTTCGCCGCCGCTTGCATACCTCAACAATCGGTGCGCGGCCAAATAGTGAAAATTTCCCCCCCTAGGAAAAATAACTCGTTACACTGCCCACTTACATTGGGATGAAAAAAAAGAAAACGGCCAAAAAGAAAAAAAATCTTTGAACTCCGGCCAAAACAAAATCCTCCAGCCCCTAACCTAATGGTGAATCCTGCACCACAGGTCTCAAACTCAAAACAAAGAAATCTCTTCCACTAGCCACTACCAGCCAACATGGTGCTGAGTGATTTAGCATCAAGCACCAGGCGGGGATTTACATTGCAAGGGCCTTCGGGGTCTTTGTCACCAATTTTAACATTGTCTATGCGGCCAACATGGCCAGAACAGTCATCACCCATGCCCATTCTTATCCCCTCCGTCCCAACTGTCAACAATCCGAGGTGTCGAATGACTTCCATACCGAGAATCATCTCCGTGGTGAGAGTAGGAACGTACAAGGCGTCTCCAATCCACCGTCTCCCCGCCGTTTCCCCTGCTTGCCGAAACGAATACTCAGCCTTCGACCGTGTCCCATCTGCCATCCTCAGAGGAGCGGTTTTCTTACAAGGCTCTATCCCCTGGCGTTGAAGTTGTTCGGCGACTCCTCGCCCAACCAAGTTAACTACGGACCCAGTGTCCAAAAATGCCTTAAAAACGCTACTTATCGGCACAACTTTAACAAAGGGCCTCGTCTCCGAAACTGATAATACTCTAAATCTATAACTCTAAATCTTGCAATAAAATCAGAGATTAATATTACAAATCTTTCAAACCAAAATTAAAAGAACGTCGTTCACTCACCACTAGCGTGTCTCTACCCAACTCAACCTCCAACACTCCTTGAGCACCAATATCACCACGACACCGATGTCACCAAATCACTCGACCTCTCACTCGACAATTCACAAACCAGCTGTTCACTCACCGTCGGCTACGACTCGAATGTCCGTCCATCCCAGGCTTATCAGTACTGATAAGCCAGGTCAAAGAGCGCTAGCTAGCTTCGCCACCGCCGCTTGCTTACCTCAACAATCGGTGCGCGGCCAAATAGCAAAAATTTACCCCCCTAGGAAAAATAACTGGTTACAACACACAAATAATAAAAACCTTGTGCGACGGGAACGACTCCGCCCGAGGAAACACAAAGGACTACTTCATACAGTGCAATTAAAAACAACATCCTCCGTTGACGGCTCAGCTCATCGTCGCGCGCCGCTTGGCAGCACCAGCGATGGCGAGATTACTCGTCACCCACATTGAACGTGTTAAGGCACGCTGCAACAGTGTCAAAAAATTAGAATACAATAACTATAAATTGATTTGGAGCAGTCATAGTGGAGAATTTCTAGGAATTTAATCAAGTAATGTTAAATACAAAAAATATACTGTAGGCCTACATATGGATCTACTAATTTTAGAATGTAGCTTACTTTAACCAACACTAAAAACTATTTATTTCCTAAATGACACTATTCATGTACAAGATTGTACTTTCAGTCAACAGTTAAGATATTATGACTTGATTTGAATTTCTCTCATAGCCCTGTTTAGTTGTACATTGATTTTTTTACTTTCTAAATCGATTCCATTAGGTTTTTGTATTGCATTTATATTTATTTAATATTTGTTTCAGAACATAGAGCGAAGAAAAATTATAGACTCAAGAAATAACATAGAACCTAGAAAAACCACAGGACCAAGAAAAAGCATAGAACCCAGAAAAACTGTAGAACCGAGAAAAAGAGGAAGACCTTCCAAAATTACTATTCAACAAATAAATACTGACATAGACTTCATAAACTGTGACCTAGTTCCTCAGGTAGGCTAAGACAACTAATGTTTATCAAAGTTATGTTATGGCATTCAAATCCAAGATAACTCTCAATAATTTGTGTTTTCATTAAATTGCAAAGTGTTTTAGTGCCCTTGTTTTATGTGGAAAAAGTCACCTAATGCAATTAATACCTGTGATATTTTGAAATCTATTACTGTATGGATTAGTGATTTTAGCTAATCAAAATATGGGATATTTGTCTATGTGTAATCTGTGGGTGGTTTAGTCTAGTTTTTTTTTAATTAAATGTAATTTTTTTTAGGAAAATAGCGATCCTGCTGATGACAACCTAGAAGAATTCGACCCTTTAAATTCGTCTTTTAGTACCAAAATTGGTAACCTTGAAATTCTAAGCAAATATGAAATCAAACAGGTAAGTTATAGTGTCAATACAAAGGGATAGCTAATAGACATTGACCTTTTAAGATTTGTTGTGTTGATAGCAGGCTTACCTGAGTCGTAAAGAGTCCAAACTGGCAGAAGAGACTCAAAACTTTACACTATATGCACAAAACATAAGAATACTTCACTGTCACTGAAAACATTTCCAACAAAGGAAGAGAGAGTTTTTCCTTGAGTAAACGTATTTCTGTATGTCCTTAACAGTTCATTAAGGTTTACTTTGCTGACCAGGGCAGCAAGTCTGGGTCCTCTTTCTTCTCAATCGGACTTAGTACTGAGGTGGTTGATTTTTCTTTCAAGAAGGCATATTATTTATAGGGTCTTGTTCATAGGAAACCGAGGGAGGCCTTGTCCTACCTGTTATCTTTTACCATTTACTTCAGAATGAAAGACATATCAGCTAGCAGGATTTCTTTTATTATGTTTAAGTGGTGATAGTATCAACTTCATAAATCATATTAGTTTTATCATTACAATTGAGATTTTTAAGCAATGTAGCGGGTTTATGGTAATCAATTTTCAATATTTTTCATTTCAAGTTCAAAAGATAATTATGTATGATAAGAAATTGTTCAATAAATGTGATTTTTTCAGGAGCCGGAAATAGAAATAATTGATAGTGTTATTCCGCTAAGCCCTTTGAAATATCAAACAGCACAGAGTGATCTGCTCCTTGAGTTGAAGGTAAGAGTTTAAAATTTTTTGGTGTAGTGTTTGAACATTGTTTATTAGGCCTAAGTCACTTTTTTCAAATTCAATAACAACCATCTAGGGGTGTGAAATGCATCTAAATTCCGATTTGATTTGATTCGATGCATCAAATCGCGATTCGATTCAGTGGTGATCAAAAAACTATTTGATTCAAAATCTTTTTCAATCAAATGGTTGCTTTGAATCAACATTTTTCCTGCTTCGCACACTCCTAATCAGAAGCATATACTGTTCTACTTATTTGCTGAAGCGCATGGTCGTCCAATTTCCATAAGCATGTTTCCTATGTACGTAACTTACTTATCTGTTCCAATACTGAGTTTGGTAGGTATTCCAAAACTGTTCACCTTACACTCTGTAGATCATTATTTTATCTGTTGATGATACATTTTTACTAATGATCTATTAATGTGGGAGTTGGTTCTGTGCACTTAGCTGAGATAAAAAAAAACATAGCTGCTCTATGGTAACCAATGGAGTTTCAATTTTACAAGAATATTGTTACACTTATGATTGGATATTGTTAAATAAACATGATTTTTTCATAGGAAGGAAGAAGATATGATTGATAGTGTTATTCCCCTAAGTCCTTTGAAAAGTGATACAGCACCAAGTGATCTCCTCCTTCATTTAGAAAAGGTCAAAGTTAAGAATTTTTATTTATAGCCTTTAAACATGCGCTCACTGTTAAATAGAACTTGCAAATTCAATAACAACCATCAGAATCATATATTCTGTTCTGCTTTGGACCCGATTGGTGCTGCAACCTGATGAAACATATTGGAAATAGATTGAAATATCACTGTGGGGGACCTTGTTTCTAATGCACCTTGTGTCTTAGGGATGAGGGAAGGGGCTAGGGAGAATCAGCTAAATTCTATTTAAGTGATTTAAGAACGATTATATTTCACTGAACCCACTGTAGGCTAGTAACATTTAATGCAGTTTGCTGAGTATGCTGTTAACATAAAATTCTTCTAGATTACACATAAAAGTTTGATGTGATGTGCACCTTGAATACAAAATTAAATGGGCTTTCCACCTCCGTGGCTACTCAGCTGTACAACTACTGTGTTTAGCCAGTCCACATAGTTCCATATATCACCAGTGGCTGAACGAGCCGCCCCCTAAACCGGTTTTGCACATTGCTACCGACCCTAAGGGAATTTATGGATTCTTGCGGGAGTTGAACGACACTAACTGCTGACCGGCCACAACCTCGCTGCGCTGGTCTTCTAAAGCTCACAGACTTTCACTTTACTAGATACTAATGTAAGGTCGGATGTTGTTCCGAACTCACACTTGCACTTGTTATTATGATCGCTCAGCGCGGATCGTCCAAAAGTATATCAATATATTTCATTTCAATTTTATGAAAACATTGTTACATTGTTACTTGTATTATTAGGTATGGTTCAATAAATATAATTTTTTCAGGAGGAAGAAGAAATTATGGATAGTGTTATTCTGCTTAATCCTTTGAAAAGTGAAACAGCTCAACGTGATCCGCTCCTTGAGTTGGAAAAGGTAACAGTTTAGAATTTTTGTATTTAACAGATGTTCTTTGCCTTTGAACATGCGCTTATGGAAAAAAAAATAGGTTGTGTTAGCCAAAAAACCTTTTTTTACTTATATTTAGTTTTAAAACTTTTAAAATCGTATACGAGGTGTGTTTTTAAAGTAAGTATCATTCTGAAATTAAAAAAGATGTGCTAAGAGATATAGCAATAATTTTATTTATATATGAAAGCCTGTACCTTGATCTACTCTTCTACATAAATTCCGTCAATATTGAGGCACTTGTCATAACAAGACCCTCTTCATAGACCCGCCTCATAGTAATTTTATTTGAGGTATAATAAAAACATTTAATTTCCTAATCGTAAATTTGTCATACAGTACTTTAAAAATCAACTTTCAGGCATACTATTTTTGTATCAAAACCCCTTTTTAATAAAATGCTTATTTGGTCATTTGCACACATTTTATCGTTAACAAAAACTAATCTTTACTGGTCATCTTCCCCCTGCGGTTCATGGTTAGAATAGAACCGCAGCCTTCCCGGGCTTGTCATAAGAGGCGACTAAAAGGGTGCCGACACCCTCACTGGGAGTCCTTGGGAGTGCCCCTTTTGTGTTGCAGGGGTTAATGTGTGCTCTGCACTGCCAATGGGTATTCTCAGTGAGTCGTGAGAAGCCAGGCACTTCAGTCCTTGGTCAGGGAGTGCGGCATGGATGTAGAGGTTGGGCTCTACATTGTGACTGGTGACCCCGGCACGTCAGGTATCTGGTGCTGGGAAAACGGAGGTTGGGCCCCGGGGAACTGGGGTAGGGGTACTGTCCCAGAGGGTATACCCTTTCCTGACTTTTTCAGGCTGCCCCTTGCCGCACGATGCGCTGGTAAACACATGATGGCTTATAAAAAAGAACACCTGAACACATCTTTGATAAGCAGCTCGGATGAGCAAGAAAAGAGGTCAGAAGTGGAGCGGGACTCTTTTTGGCGAAGCTCCATGCTCCAGAGACCGCCAATAGCGGAAGGTGTGAGGACGTCTCCACCACCTGCATCTTTTAGGTGCTCATGGGATTTCCTGCCTTTAGGATCACCCTTGACGAGTGGAGAAGGAAATGATTGCAGAGTAGATGTTGAACCCGAGTTGCCGGAAACTCTCCTACTGATCATGGCACCATCCTCTAAGTATGATCAAGGGATGCCGGACGAATCCCTTACAGCATCTTTATGATCATAAGTTTCGGGAATGGTGCTTCTGCGTTAGGAAAATCTAGACGCAGAAAGTAGCATTGAAAACCGGCTCCGAAACATGGAGCAGACCAAAAATGCTTGAAACCTTCAAGACACAGAGAGGAGTTAACCAAGTAGTTAAATATGGTATAGATAAGCTCAAGGAAGACCTTGGTTTTGTCTTCGCCTGCCGGCTGGTAAGCAAGGCGGCCATGGAAAGGATCGCCGAAAAGGTGGTGTCTCTGCCTGACGACAATGCACCACCTTCCAAGAAATGCAGGAGGCCTTGAATCAGAAAGTCCTTGAAAAAGAGAACAGGTTGTTCGTACAGCAAAGCCTAAAGTTAAGGTCAGTTCGACCCAGACTTCCAAGTCCTTCTCTGACGTAATTACCGCTCCAGCGAAGCCTCGATAGCCACAATAACCTGCGACACCCATTGAGGGGAGCTCCCGAAAGGGGTCAGTCACAGAAACACCATCTGGGACTGTGTGGGAAAAGCCTTTTGTGAAAGGAGAAGAGAAAATTGAGGCGGGCAGAAGTCGGATGGCGGTCGCCGAAATGGCAGACGCAAACGCCAGTAAGTTGTTAGCACTCCAGCATTTGAGGGTTGGATGGGTTAACTGCAGGCTAAGACGGAGGGTGGAAGTAACAGAGGTGTTTTTAATGCCTTGATTTCGGCCATTCCTCCCGAAACTGCAAAGGGCCCGACCGAGGCAAGAACTGCCTTCGATGTGGGGAGCTGGGTCACACTCGTAGGGACTGCATAGTCGAGTCCTGATTCCTTTGTAAGGAGAAAGGCATCAATGATAAAAACAAAAAATCAGCAAGAAATGTAAAAACTTTATCAGTGTCTCTTAATTAGGAAACTACCTCTTTGTGGGTTATTTTGAGGGGGGGCTTGAAATGTTGATGGTCTGGTCCTTTCCTCCAAAAATTGTCAATATGGCCCTTGAGTGATGGACAACGTCTACTGAAACGCCAGCCTCTAGTCTATTTAGCTTATTCAAAGTCGCAGTCATTGCCCTGAATTTGACAATCTACTGTGACCGTGGAAGCCTATTATCTAAATCAGGGGTCACCAACCCTTTTCACTCAAGGGCGTGAAATAATAATAATAATAACTATTATAATAATTAATAATTATAATTATTTTCTGAAAATAATTTTTGTTAAAATTTTTCTTTTTGTGATATTGTCTAACAAAGTAAGGCTTTGCTCATAAGGAATGCAAAATAATTACAGTAGAGGTATCTGTATTTTTATGAGAAATACTGTACAGGGTATTCAAACTAGTACAAAATTTTCCTCATAAGGAGCCACCATTTTTAAGTGAATAATAGTATCCTAATTATTATTCCATCAAAGTATTAAAACAAAAAGTAAAGTGGCCCCAGGTCCAGGTCTTACCATGAGACCTACAGTAATAGTTTATTGCCTATATGGAAAATTCACTAACAAATACTATTAGACAAGTAGCCAATAAAGCTGTCAAGAAAAATAGAAGTGTCCTGGAAAATGATGATATTCATTTCCAAAAATTTTGGACTTAGGTGTTTTTTGCATTTTAAAACATTTAAAATTTTCTGTATCAAACTGTTTTGGACATTTGATATTAATAATTTGGAATTTTCATTATAGGTGTCTGTGATCTGCGGCAATGATAATCCTTCTGATGATGATGATTGTTTTGATAATGATGTCTTTGATGACTACTCACATGCATCTGAAGATGAATCACCGGTAAGTTTAATCACACATTTTATCTTCAATAATTAAAGAAGTCAGGGTGTAAGTTAAGAACGTAGGGTTTTTTTGTTTTGAGATTCAGAAAAAATGACATATCTAGTGTTATACAGGGTGTTTTTTTAAAACTTGCATCTTCATTTATGTAAAAACCGCAATAGATAGAAATATGCAGTTTGCGGGAATCATCTATTGACGTAGGAGGCCCAATTGTTTTGAATTCAACGTTACATTCACATTCAACTTTCCCCCCTGCCCACAACTTATTTTTTTTAAATAGCAAGGTACCCCTTGTGATATATCAAATGAAAGAGCATGAAAAAAGAAAATGTTTAGTGAAAAAAAATTGAAAAGTGGCTCATGAATTTGTGAGATAATCATCCCCCTTTCCCCTACCCATTACTTTTTTTTAAATAGCAAGGTACCCCTTTTGACATATCAAATGAAAAAGCATGTGAAAAAAGAAAATGTTTGGTGATATTCATTTTTAATTTGATATGTCACAATGGGTACCTTGATATTGAGAGTGGTTTAAGAGTTTCATCACAAATAGGAGGCAACAAGTAAAAATAAACAATGACTACAGTAATCCTCTCATTGTACAAACGGGTGTGCCCCAAGGGTCAACGTCCTCAGGTATTTTATTTTTAGTGTTCATCAACGATTTATTAAATCTACCTTTTAACGGAAATATCTTTGCTTTTGCTGATGACATTGCTCTTTTTTACACACAAAACGATTTGATGTTCATGGAAAATTTAATAAACGATGATCTTTTACTTTTAAGAAATTGGTGTTTGATCAATAGAATGCAGGTAAATGTAAACAAAACCAAATTTGTTAATTTCCACTCAACCGGTTTTGAATTGCCATCTCCTTTAATTTTTCACTCCTCAAATTGCAGTCCACAACTATGTAATTGCCAGCCGTTAGAAAAAGTAAAATCTATAAAATATTTAGGAGTTCTACTTGATGAAAAAGTCACCTTCGAACCTCATATATTAAATCTACATGCTAAGATACGAACACAAATAAGAAAATTTTATTTTTTAAGAAATTTTTGTAACGAATCACTTTTGAGAACATTATACTTTGCACTAATCAACTCAAGATTGCAATATGCCTTGCCATGCTGGGGAGGAACTTATAAAACCTTGATAAATAGATTAAGAACAACACAAAACTTTTTTATGCGGATAATTTTGAAACAACCTAAAAGAACAAGTTCATTTCCACTCTACCAACAGTTAAAAATTTTGCCCATACAGCACCTTTTTGTTTTCAAAGTTCTTAGACTGTTTTTTGTTCGAAGTGGAAACAGAGTTAACGTCATACCAAATATTACACACACATACATAACAAGAAGCATTACCAATAATACTCTGAAACTACCCAAAGTAAATAAAGCTATTTTTCGTCACTCTTTTCAATATCTAGGTCCAAAATACTATAATTCTCTACCACTTCAAATAAAGAATAGTTTAAATTTAAAGCATTTTAGCAAAGCAACGATAATTTGGCTTTCTTCTCAGCAGGACATAAATTATATCAATAATATCCTGTTGTAATAACTTTCATTGTTTATTAAAACAGTTCTTGTTTTGTCCATCAGATGCACAGTTCAGGCGAAATTCAATGTTTTATAACAGATGCTAGACCATAAATTACAACGTCATGTTAGCCGATAAGTTAGTATAAGCAAACTGGTTACACTACTGGATCAAGTAGCCAGTTCTATTTCTCTACATCTCATGTATTGTTACATTGTGGTTTTTTGTGGGAAATAAACTTCATTATTCATTATTCATTATTCATTATTCATATTATAAAAAAAGTTATCGGTAGTGGGAAAGGGGGGATTATCTCACAAATTCATGAGCCGATTTTCAATTTTTTTTCACTAAACATTTTATTTTTTCATGCTCTTTCATTTGGTATATCACAAGGGGTACCTTGCTATTTAAAAAAAAATAAGTTGGGGGCAGGGGGGGAATGTGAATGTAACGTTGAATTCAAAACAATTGGGCCCCCTACGTCAATAGATGATTCTCGCAAACTGCATATTTCTATCTATTGCGGTTTTTACATAAATAAAGATGCAAGTTTAAAAAAACCAACTCTGTATATTAAATTTAAAATTTTAAAGATTTTAAACATCTTTTAATGACTTCTTCCTTCCTTAAAGGGAACTTGTACATTCGAGCTGGGTGTTATTTAACGTAATAGCATAAATAATTCTATTACTGAGGCGTCACCTATTACCCTGGTAATAGATTACTTAGAATAGCATACCCTATTATTTTAGTAATGTCAGATGAACTTTAAACGAATAAATAGAATAACTAACTATCCCATTAATAATGTCTTCCTATTGAAGTGAGAATAGTAGAAGTACAAAATAATATTACCTTGGTAATAGATTTCTGAGAATACAATTATTGTTATAACATCATCTGGACTGTAAAAAGAACTAGTGAAATAACACTGATTGTGTATCGCTATTAACTGTGAGACACAAATATGGGTCTCAATCCCGGGATTCCGAATCCCAGGATCCTGGACGATTTTTGATACCTAGAAATCCCGGGATTGGTGTCTTTTAATCTCGGGATTAACGGGATTGCAAAATTTATGTTTATAAAGATTTTTTTTGAATTTGAGGAATTTTGCTTATGGAAAATAAATAAAAATACATCCAATAACACTTGAAACTCAATAGGCGAACATATGTAAATATATGTTTAATGTTTTTTGACGAATTGGATTTACTGTCTGTTTGTTATTACATTAGTAATTACATTAAGTAACAGTTAGAACAATTAATTAGTAATTACATAGTTAATTATACTAGGCCTATAAGTTATTTTGAGTTTTACTTTTGACATTAAACGTAAACAACGCAATTCATGTCGCAAACATAACATGGCAATCGGTGACGGTAATTGAAGTATCATTTTCTTAATAACATTGAAGCCCTAAAAATTAACTATAAACACACCATTATTAAGATTGCTTATATTTAGGGTTTATAACTTTATCTTTGTATTTGGTTATTAGTGTGGTGATTAAATATTTTACAATCCTAAATTACGTTTTTCGTACACATGCATAAGCAGATTCTTCCCATATTATCTTTTTGTTGTTTATCTTTAAATTTTGAGGTATTTAGTTTCCATTTTAGCGTGACGTATAGGGTGTAGGCTAAATGCGAGTGCGGTTGCTCGAGATTTTTGAAAATTGTATTTATTATATTCTAGAATGACAAATCAACATTTCGTACATTGTAAATAAGAAAAAATATTTTATTTCACTTAAAATAATGACAGTCTATGGGATGTAGGCCTATATATATCAAACTATCATCCACTTTAAGGATAGGGAACATACTCTAAAACCATTAGGAAGTACTCATGAGTATGATACTAGAAATAGGAACAATATTGCAATACACATATATCATTTTGAACTATTTAAAAAGAAACCTACTTATGCTGGTGCATTATTTTTTCCAAATTAACATTAACCTTAAGACAAGAGCCGAATCCAAGAATATTAAAAAGGAAACTTAAAGATTTTATATCAACTAAAGCATTATATAATATACAAGAATTTCTTGACCCAGAGTTTAATTCAAAACCTTCTGGGACTTGAAGGGCTTTTGGATGTTTAGAATATTTTACTGCTTTCTTAATTTATTTATGATTGTTATATGTTTTGTTGAGAATCTCTATTGTAATAGTATAAATAACCTTCTTTTTATTATAAAAAATGGTAGAAATAAGTTAGAAAACAGTTTTAAGTTATAATAAAGAATCACTTTTCGGCACTGTTCAATATACTGTAAATATGTACTAAAAGAATAAAGATTGTTTGAAATGAAATGAAATGAAGACGGGTGATGAAAGTTGAAAGTTTCAGCAAAATTGCGTAGTGTAACACTGATAAGGCCAGTTTAAAACATTAAAGGACTCAACAAGGGGACTTCTCCCTCATTTAAAATGGCTAAATAGTTAAAATCATAAAATAATATAATCCCGGGATCGACTGCGACAAATCCCGAACTCCCGGGATTGGATTGAAGGCCCGGGATTGAGACTCCTTGTCACAAACCAGGTCTATGATAGATGTGCTAGTACACCTACCTTTCATGAATCCATGCTGATGAGGCGAGTGAGATGTTCTACTAGTCTTTTTGGGCATTTTTAAAATTATTTTTAAGAAAGAGGGTAGGATTAATAGTAATTGTAATTAATAGTAGTTGTATTTTATATGTAATTATTTAGCTGAGTTTGGTCTCCTTTCTTAAATTTAGGGCACACTTTTGTAATCTTGAGTGCTGATGGGAAAACACCACTGTGAAAAGACTTGTTCGGATGATTAATTGCAGGGGATAGGCAAGCCTGTCAGCACAGTGCTTAACTAGTTTTGCTGAGATTTCACCAGTTCCACTTGATGTTTTGTTTTTCTAGGAGGATATGGTGTCCTTAACCTCTTTTCATTATTTGGAGTTAACATTAGTGTTTGCTGAAAAGGGGCTGGTATTGGTGGTGTGTTTCTTTTTTGTGGCCTGTTTAAGTTGAAACTCTTAAGGGTGCGCTCTACCTCAGCTCGGAAATCTCAGCTCGGGCTTTAGTTGCTATGTTGCACCATTGGACAGTGCCGCGAGAAGCGCTTGCAGAGGTTTCCAAGATTACTGTTTTCGAATTAACCAATAGGTAATGATAGCTACAAATGGCTTATAGTAGTGCAAGTACTAATCTATAGTTCTTCGTTTTCCAAACTTTCAAATAACGTTTTTCAATAAGTTAGTGCTAGTTGAAAAGACTTTTTTTTCTTGTCCTACAAATCAAGTTTATAAGGTGTGTATTAAAAATAAATGAAATAATGAAACGCAGAACTATAGAAAATTTCATCTTCTTTAATATGAGACCTTAACTTTGATTCTACCTTCAATGTAGCAGGTGAAAACAGTAATCATGGAAACCCTTGCATTCGGT